AGAGAGAGAGAGAGAGAGAGAGAGAGAGAGAGAGAGAGAGAGAGAGAAAGGAAGAGAGAGAGGAAGAAAGCAAGCAAGCTAGCTAGGTGGGGTAGCCGGGCGGTGGTGGTGCACGCCTTTAATCCCAGCACTTGGGAGGCAGAGGCAGTTGGATGTCTGAGTTCGAGGCCAGCCTGGTCTACAGAGTGAGTTCCAGGACAGCCAGGGTTGCACAGAGAAACCCTGTCTTGAAAAACAAAAAGAAGAAAGCTAACTGGGGGTGGTGTGGATAAATGCTGGGAAAAAGAAAAAAAACCCACAAAGTACAAACTACAGTTATGTCCTCCTTTCATCTCTAGTTTTGTTAATTTGGATCTTCTGTTTCTGACTTTTAGTTAATTTTGCTAAGGGTTCATCAGTCTTACTGATTTTTCTCAAAGAACCAACCCTTTGTTTCATTGATTCTTTGTACTTTTTTTCCTTTGTTTGTTTTTTTAAATTGATTTCAACTCTGATTTTGATTACTCCTAACAGTCTCTTTCTTTGGGGTTCAATTTCATCTTTTTGTCTAGAGGTTTTTTGCTCTTAATATATTATTAGAGTGAGATCTCTCTATTTTTAAGGAGATGTAGATACATAGTGCTATGAATTTGTCTTTTAGAACTGCTTTCTCTGGTCCATTTGCTTGGAATTGGGAGATCATCTTTCATGATTTTTACCCTGAGATGATGTCTGTCCTTGGTGTTAGGGTGTATTTATTGGGTTCAGCAGAGGATAGGTCCTGTTTTCATATACATTCTGTTAGTTTGTACTTTTTTTTTTCTATTTTGGTTTTAGTTTTTTAAGATAAAGATTCTCTGTGTAGGGTTTTCCTTGAACTCACTCTGTCAAACAGGCTGTCCATGAACTCAGAGCTCAGCCTGCCTCTGCCTCCCAAGTGCTGGGATGAAAGGTGTGTGCTACCATGTAATTCTTCATTGTGTTGTTTCAGTTGGGGGTTAAGACCATTGATCCTGAGATACAAGAATGCACAGACTTGTTGATTTGTTTTATTTTGTTATAGTAATATGTGTGTCCCTGAGTTGATTTGGTGGTCCGGGATTAGTGTGTGTGTGTGTGTGTGTGTGTGTGTGTGTGTGTGTGTGCTTTCTTGGGTATGGCTAATCTCTTTAGTTGGAGTGTTCCTTCTAGAGCCTTCTTTAGGGATGGATATGTAGATACATATTACTTAAATTTGCTTTTATCATGGGATGTCTATGGTGATAAAAGTTTCTCTGGGAATAGTAGTTTGGGCTGGCATCTGTGGTCTCTCAGAGTCTGTAAAGTATTTTTCCATTCCCTTCTGACTTTTCAAGACTCCAAGGAGAAGTCATATATGTGTGCCTTTATTCTTGGGCTGTGTCCCTTAGAGATTTTCATATACTTTCTTTGTCCTGTGTGTTTAGTGTTTTGATTATTATGTGCTGAGGGGGACCTGCTTTTGTGGTCCAGTCTATTTGGTGTTCCACATAGTTCTTGCACTTTAATAGGCATCTTATTCATTAGAGTAGGGAAATTTTCTTCTATGATTTTGTTGAATATATTTCTTTTATCTTTGAACTGGGATTCCTCGTCCCCCCCCTCTTCTTCCTCCTTCTCCTCTTCTGACTTCTTTTTGCTGGGATTAAAATTGTGTACCACCACCACTGCCATCACTACAGATTTTTACTTCTTTCTTCTTTAAAGAATTTCAAGTCCAGGCCAGTTCTCTTATAGCGTAACATATATTATTATTTATTTGCGTGGTGTAGGCATACATTTTTTGCAACCTACTTTAATAAGTGTTTAACCTCTCTCACCTACCATAGGTAGTAGAAGTGAAAAGTTATTAGGAATGGGGAAGTGGACCAGTTTAGCAATAGTTCTTTGGGGTGAGCTTGATCTTCTTTGGCAGCAATTGAGTCCCATAGGTAACACCAAATATTACTCAGCAGCTGTGGACCAGTCCTGTTGGCAGGCAGACACCACACAAGAACCAGCAGCTGTTGTAGTACAATCCTGAAGAAACTGCTCTTGTTCAACTTCTCAGATACTACTTTAGAGCCTGGCCATTCATTTAGTAGCCTTTATGTTATAGGAAAATAAAGTATTCTTGCTTTCTCCTTTTCTTTCAGACTTGGAGACAGATTATGATGCTGAAAATATGTCTCCAGAAAATCCTATTAATAATAGAAACTTTCTCAAACAGAGCATAAAGCAATTAAGTATAATTTTTGACCTGAAGGACTCTAGAACTAGTAATGGACCCAGCTATGCTACATTCCATGGACTACAGGATTGTCAAGGTGATGCTGATCAAAAGGTTACTAACAAGGAAGAAATGCCTGCTTTTACCAGCCAGACTCTTGCTCACAACATAGAAAAGGCATATGAATGTAAAGAGTGTGGGAAGTGCTTTGGTTGTAGGTCAACTCTTATTCAACATCAGAGTAGTCATACTGGAGAGAAGCCCTATGAATGTAAGGAGTGTGGGAAGACCTTCAGACTCCCCCAACATCTTACAAGACATCAGAAGTCTCACAGTGCTGAGAGACCTTTCAAATGTAATGAATGTGGAAAGGATTTTCATCTTCCTGCATTGCTCAAGCACCATAAAATCATTCATACAGGTGAAAAACCATTTGAATGCGAAGAATGTGGGAAGTCCTTCAACCGGGTCTCCAACCTTGTTGCACATAGAATTAGTCATGCTGATGTGAGACCATATGAATGTAATGAGTGTGGGAAAGCCTTTAAACATCGAAAAGGCCTCATGCAACATGAGAAAATTCATTCTGATGAGAGACCCTTTCAGTGTAAGGACTGTGGAAAGGGCTTCATTGTTCTGGCAGAGCTCACTAGGCACCAGAACATTCATACTGGAGAAAAGGCATTTGAATGCCATGAATGTGGGAAGGCCTTCAGACTCCCCCAACAGCTTACAAGACATCAGAAGTCTCACAGTGGTGAGAAACCTTTCAAATGTAATGAATGTGGAAAGGCTTTTCATCTTCCTTACCTACTCAAGCACCATAAAGCCATTCATACAGGTGAAAAACCATTTGAATGCAGGGAATGTGGGAAGTCCTTTAACCGGGTCTCCAACCTTGTTGAACATAGGCTTATTCATGCTGATGTGAAACCACACAAATGTAATGAGTGTGGGAAAGCCTTTAAACGACTCAAAAGCCTCATTAAACATCAGAAAATTCATTCTGGTGAGAGACCCTTTCAGTGCAAGGACTGTGGAAAGGCCTTCATTGTTCTGACTCATCTCACAAGGCACCAGAG